CCAAGCTCCGTTCTCGTGGTTGCATAGGTCTGTTTCAGGGTGCCTCATCCTCACGAACATTTCCCGACATTCCTGCTTGACACATGGCGATGAGCTCTTACCGATCGAGGGTTGCGGATGCTGCACTATACAGCGGGACGTTTGCCGTCGCGGGCTGAGCGGCAGGTATTCGAACTCTTGGGAAGGTACTCACGGGGGTATGTGGCTGGGATGAAAGGCAAAAGAGGAGCCGACAACGATCCTTTCTGAGCATCGCGGATGGATGGGGTGAGACGTACATTAATATTAATGTGTCCGCGCCACTTCCCCAACCGCGCCCGACCTAATTTTAAGCCGACCCTCTTTGATCGCGAGATTGCGAAGCTGAGGCTAGCAAAAATTCTTACCCTCGGCAGACGCGAACTTCGCCCTTACTTTGCGAGCTGTTTAACGGAGACTGTTACTGACGACACTTTTGAAAGGTTCTTGTCCACGGACGGTAGAGTGTAAGCTGCATGTAGAACCTACTACGGGAACCGCCGCGGACATAATGAACATGCCGCTGACGACACGTACGACGAATCTCGCGCGACAGCCGGTGGGCGCATTTAGAAGCATCCTCGCGTCGTGCTAGCGCCGGCACGCGAATGATGATCCTTTCGCAATCGTTCCGTCCGACGCTTTGAATGGGCATTCACTCGCCCTAAAGGCAGAATACACGGGTCGGGCAGAGCAGCTGAGACAATTCTGGATCAACATTATTTGAGCTTGTTTTCAATTGACGTACGCACGACACTGATGTATGTGCGTGACCGTGGAGGCTTCTGGTCAGAACGACATTGGCTTAGTCCAGCCAATCGTGATCAGGCAACAGTCATGGGGCGCACACCTGCGCTGGAGACATTTGACCTCCCCTGGGCAGATGATGTCCAAGTCTCCTGTGCGTTGGAGAGAGCCTATTTGAACGGATTCAGCCGGCTATATTCCCCGTCGGATGAAAACAGCTGCGGTCACAAGCTGAACAACGGGTTTTGGTCGACACGCTATTGGCTGTTCAAAGCAATAGCTCTCGATGCACATTCACCCCATGAATAGCGTAATGGAGCACGAACAGAAAAAGTCGGGCGATCTGAGCTGTTGCCGCGTTCTGGGACGTAAAGAATACTCGCAGAAGGCTTCGCGAGAGGGCCGGGGAGAGGAACGTGCGGGTCAACGTGTCGGGAAGGTCATGCGGGAAGCCGAACTGCCCTCGACGTTGAAGGCGTTGCTATGCCCGCTGCCGTACGGAGCTCGCTGGGTGACCGGGGTTAGTTTTGTCCAGACTGTTCATTTGCGCCTTGTGGACTCGCTTGAGGCAGTTCCGGAGCATAGAGAGAGTACACATCACGTGTGGCCGACCTATCCGAGCCCGCAAAGTGAGCTGTCCGCTGAGAAAGAAGCAACGTTCGCTAGGGAAGGAAAATATTGCGCGCGGAAGGCTGTCAGATTCATGAACAAAGGAGGACAGGCTTACGTTCAGAGTCTCGAGTCTTGACGGCTGAAGCGAAACAAAAGGCACAGAGCGTGCGGGGTATAGACGCCAAACATACGCGTGACCGGACGATGGCGCCGATCCGTCCGCCGATTCTGCAATCCAGGGCGCTCCTTCCATATGTGGCGCGCTTACAGGCCGTCCCGAGCGAAGACGTGATTCAGGAATGACATTATTCCAGCCATTTCCTTTGAGAAATAATGTTCGCATATAAACCCCTGACCCACCTCCCTCCGTTGGTCCCGATACTCTTCCCGACGTTCAAATCGTCCTTCACAACTCTACCCTCATCCTGATATGATCACCCACCATGAGTCCACAGCCAACCAGTGCCCGCCCGAATTATTGTCTCTCATCTGTGCACACATCTTCGCAGCGGGTCTACCACCCGCTGAAACATCTCTTGACCCTCTGATCACTTCCGAAGACAGAGTGCCAACCGCTTTGCCGTCCACGTACCCCGGCGCGCAGTGGTCAGAGCCGACGGTTCGGAAGACCCTCGCCAGTGCCACGCTCGTCAACCACGCCTGGTACGAGGCCGCCAAGCCACACCTCTGGAAGAGCATCGAGGTCCGGCTGCCGAGGAGCTGGCTCACGCTCGTCGAAGAGCTCGTCGGCGGTGACGAGGAGGAAATTTTGGACTCGGAGCACGCGGCCGAGTTCGTCGGCCAGACCATCCAAGACGCGCAAGACGCAGCACTCGCTGCGCAGACCGTCATCGAGGGCTCACCGTGCGTCGACAATCTCGCGCAGGAGCTGCACCTCAAGCTGCTCGCCACGCTCGCCGGCCCTGACGGGCACATCCCTCCGGAGCTCCTTTCGCCGCCTGCCACGCGCGACCCGTCCCCGCGCCGCCTGCGCGCCAAGAGCAAGAGTCCGGCGCGATGGAAGCTCATGCGTACCATTAGTGATGCCATGCAGGACGTCATGGAGCAGCAGCAACCTGGAGTATATGGTGCGTGTGATTCATGACCAGAAATTGAACGGCTCGCTCACACCAGGTACGCCTCCCGACAGTCCCGACGCTTCAAGACCCGCATCCAGGCCGCTTTGTCCGCCACCTTGACTTCACGCATTTCCGAACCATTGGTATGCGTCGTTCCATCGAGGAGGGTGTGACTGGACGTTTCGTCACGAGCGAGCGTCTTTTGGCGGTTCTTAAGGTGCGCTCGGCCGTATGCAATCAACGGCCTCGATATCTTATCTTATCTCCGTGCAGGAAATGCCCAATCTCGTAGCCTTCGGTGGTACGGAGTACATGGACAGTGCTCTAACCCTCGAGGTCCTCCAAGAGCTTCTGCTGCGCGGTGGCCCAAGTCGCGGCAGGGGCAGGCCCTCGCGTGGTCGTGGGCTTGTCGTTGTGGACCACAGCAATCCCGAGGAGGAAGACCGCGAGCGGAGGCGTGATTATCAGGAGCTCGAAGCTCTTGATCTCACCGGTTGTGTCAGCGCCGTTTTCGCGAAGGCCATGCACGACTTCGTCACGATGCACCTGCTACCGCCGCCCCAGTCCGGCAACACTTCGCGGTCTGACGGCGAGGACGGTGCACGTGAACGCGGCCGCGTCCGCTTCGCCGCCGTCGACGAGTCCCTCACTTTCCCGGCTATTCAGCGACTCAGCGTACGCGGTATGAAGTCTATTCCTGCACAGATTCTAGAGCCGTTCATCCTCGCGTTCCCCTCGCTTACCCACCTCGACCTCTCTTGCACTCGCGTCACCCCGGCTCTACTGAGTTCTCTCGGCACTTCACCCACCATCCGCCTCAAGGGTCTTGGTCTGGAGCGGTGCAACTGGCTGACAGGCGAGAGCATCCGAAAATTCCTCGTCGAGTCCCCCGTGACGGCGGACCTTGAAGGGCTCAGTTTATACGGCGATTGGACATTCCCGTCTCCGTTGTCGGAGGAGGATATGTCCGCCATACTCGCGAAGGCACCATGCTTCAGGTCCGGCAAGCTTGTCTACCTTGACATCTCAAGTACGCCGGTCACGCGCGAGATACTCCTCAGCATCTGTGCTGAACAGCCCAACCTGCGGTCCTTGGGCATGTCGTACATTCGCCGCCTTGAATTGGACACGATCGCAGCATTCCTCAAGACCAAAGCGCGCAACGTCGAGGCACTGACGCTCGGCATGACCTCTCCAGATCTCGGCTACGCCGACCAGTTCGTCCCGCCGCGGCAGGCGACCATCGCCCTGCACACGAAAATCATCGGCCCGCTGTGCACCGCACCGTTTTCTTTCAGCCTGTCCAGCCCGCGGGCAGCGCCCGCACAGCCGCCGACGCGCCTGCGGGTTCTCGAGCTCGCGCCGCAGATGCTCACGAGCCTAGGCGGGGGCGCGGGTTCGTGGCGGATCGTGCGCAGCAAAGGCAGCCGCGGCTGGTACGTCGACTCGGCAAGCGCGTGGGTCGCGGACGACGTGCAGGGCAGCGTCCTGCGGCGCGACCTCGAAAAGGGACACCCGTGGCGCGAGGAAGTCGAACGGCTCGCGAACGCGAACGGCAACGTGAGCAATGCCGTGGGGTGGCACTCGCGTAAGATGGAGGTACGTGTGCCTTGCCGATTGGTCTGTCCTGGATGGCAGTGCTGAGAATCCTTTGTGCAGATCTTACGCGGCCATGGCTTCCTTGGACGCGAAGCTGGGTTGTACGGTGCTGTGTCTTTTGCATATGCGGGCTAGGGATCGAGGCGATACATCTTCGATCACAAAGCAAAAAACAAACAAAAGTTGCCAGCGTGACTGGCACTTCCTTTCGGGCTATGAGTGGCGTCCTCGGATCCATTGTCTTTGTTTGCAGCTCACATTGTATTTTTCTAATCGCCACACGCACAGCAGACTCTGCCTTGTTATCGTACTTGCATCCTTATCACACATAATCACGCAAAGTAGCGAGGTATCACCGTTAGCGCTAAATGTTAAATATCACATATTTACCCCCTATGAAAGGTGTGACGGAATGGCCAGGTTCAAGACGGCTCCACTTAACGGCGACTCTGCGCCACGACTGTGACCCCCTGCCAAGTAGATGTGACTAGGCAGTGCATTGCCTTTGGAGCAATTCGTGAAGGCTTGCGGAAATTCACAAGACTGCTCGAGGTGAAATACGAGGATAAAAATCCAGTTGAGAAATACACAGCATGCTGTGCGGACACGGCCGGGCATGGCCGACAGGTTGATCGCCGCGGCGGCCGTCGTCAGTAGGGTTAGGTTCGGGGTCCGAATTGTTAGTAGTGTGACTGTGACGCACCGCGGTTGGGGACGCCAAGAGGCTGCACTTTGGTATATATCCTCCGTTCACCTGTCTTGGTTCCTTTCACTCCCATTCCTGAGAACTGCCCGAGTTGCTACTGCCTCAGCCTACGGTTCTTCCCTCTAATGAGTACGTTCGCCAGTGCTTGTCTCGGCTTCCAGCATCGCATCTGTCTCAACCCTGCTGCATAGATACTCCGAAGGTCAGAGATAATGACCTACACTCAGCGACTACGCAGACGCAGGCATTCAACTTAAACCGACGCCAGTCGCAGTCGCGTTACGCTACCGTAGACCAAGACTCGCCCGCCTCCTCACCCGCCCTGCGCTCAGCGGACCCAGCCAATACAGCCCAGACCAGGCCACGATTGAATTTCCGCAATATGCTCAGGCGCATGTCGACCGTACTTGAACAGAACATGAAGCCTGCAAAGCCCGTTGGCCATCCACGTGCCAGAAACATCGCCCAGGGCATCAAAGCCATAATATGCATGTCTTGTGTGTACTCTCGTTCTTGGCCAAATATAACTTTGCTTACGGTGTGTTGAAAGACCTCAACATTCTCCTTCTATGCATACCCGTGTCTGTAAGTGATTGGCATATTATGATGCTGTCTCCACAGCCTAACACCCAACAGTGGGCGTTGCATTTCATATGGCAACACAATACAACCAGCACTCAGGATACCATAATATTCGTCTGTGAGTCCTACCAGCCTGGTTGGCCGGTCTTTGGTGATGTTCACCCCCCTTCAGTTTCGTTCTTGTCAATCGTCCCTCTTGCGAAGGTAGATAGCCACCTACATCTCGTTTCATTCATCCTTTAACCGCTCGCCCATCAGATGTTAGCATTTGCTACCGACGAGCTCTCATGTCGCGTTGGTCAGACATTAGCCGGCCTTCTCAATGCCACGTTGGTGAGTACTAATGTCCTACTCCTCCCCACTACGTCTGCTAAGGAACGCTTTAGGGAAATGCGTGAGTCTGAAACATTCATACCATTCGTAGACTCTGACCGAGCGTCCCTGCATAGTGTGGAACTGATTGTAGCTGTAAGCGGTGATGTTCATTCACGGGGCTGTACATGATGTTGACATCCCTGTCGTGTTATGATAGATCATCGCTCTAGCGCAGTGCCAGCTCCAAATTGTCCAATCGTCGCGTAAGTCCCTCACCCTTATCACACAGCCTTCCGCTCCATGTATTCTTCCGTACGCTAAACTAACGGATGCTTTCGGCCAGTCGTCGGTTCAATCCTAAGCAACCTTCGTGAGTTTCCATTTGCACGTTCTGTCCTGTCGCCATAGTCGACTGACTTCCATCATCTCCCAAAGTGCTTGTCCTTGGAATGTGCTTCTTCGCAGGAGGAACGCGCTTCTCTGAACAGGGTTTCGGCGTTAGTGAGTGCCACTTTCCTCTTGGCTCGCATTGTATCTGACTGTGTAATTTGTTCAACAGGCGCCACGCAGCTGAATTCCTCTTTGTTGACCATATCCGTAATTGCAGTTTTGTTACCCGCTGCATTCCACTTGGCCGCGGGTGCAGATATTCCCGACCCTATCGAGGACAAAGACATTCTCGCGGTCAGCCACGGAGTAAGTCATGTTCGGGCTCACGTTTTCGGGGTTCGTGTACTAATACGCCAATTTCAGGCTGCGATCATTCTACTCTTCATCTACGGCAGCTATCTCGTTTTTCAGTTATTCTCGCACAAGGACCTCTACCGTGACGACAACCCTGAGAATTTCAAGTCAACCAAGTACACAGGTCGCAATTTTCTGAACAGGAGGAGGCACATCGAACCTCCCCAGGTTCAGAGTCCGAAAGACGTGGAGATGGGCAGTATCGCTGAGGTGCCGACCAGCACGGGCGCGCAAGCCAACGGCGCGCCTTCCTTACATGTTGGTTCGCACGACGGACACACAGTTTCTGCAGAGGAGTCAACAGCCGCGCTACAGCACCAGCCGACAGCGGGACTAGAGGAGGAAGGTGAAGTTGAAGAGCCTACACTGAGTTTGCCCATGACCATTGGCATGCTCGCTGTCACTACTGTGGTGCGTACTGCGTCGTGCCCCACCGCCGAGAGTACGCGCTGATTCACGACAGATCGTTGCTGTGACTGCTGAGTTCCTCGTCAGCTCGATAGATGGCCTGACGAGCACAGGACATATCAGCAAGGAGTTTGTCAGTCTCATCCTCCTTCCCATAGTGGGCAACGCTGCGGAGCACGTCACAGCTGTCACTGTCTCCGTCAGAGACAAAATCGACCTTTCGCTGGGTGTTGCAGTTGGCTCCAGTATTGTGCGTCCTTCACTGTCACACTCCTTCCTACGTCACTGAACTGACCGCTTCGCATGCAGCAAATTGCGCTATTCGTCATTCCATTCATGGTCATACTTGGGTGGATCATGGGCAAGCCACTCTCGCTCCTCTTCGACCCATACGAGTCGATCGTGCTCTTCCTTACAGGTGCGTCCGCCCCTTCATTGCTACCCTCCGCTCCACAAGCTGACCGTCCGCTTCCTCCTTCTGCACTTGCTATTAACACTCAGTGCTCATTGTGAACTACACCGTCGCAGACGGCAGATCAAACTGGCTGGAAGGCGCGATTCTCATGTCACTTTACATCATGCTCGCCGTCACCTTTTGGTTTTATCCTGGTACGTCTTTCATCATCGCATCATGGATCGCGCATTTATTGCAGAAGCTGACTGGTATCGACACAACAGGCGTCTCTCAACTGCTCTCGTCCTGCTGAAATTATTGCGCTCGTCCCTCACACTCATTGTCTACCACTGTCACACGCCACCCAAGTAATTTAATGTTCCAGCAAGCAGTACTCCAACTTCCACAACGAAGAGTTTTATATATCCCCGATTGTGTTCTATACCCGCCATATATTTCACTAGCCTAGTCGTTAGCTTCTTCGTGTATCTCATTTGGCCACACGACTTCGAAACACGCGTATTGCAGCACACTACTAGTGACCCCATGTCAAATTTGTAGATATTTCTCTTGTAGTACATATCATAGAATTGCAACCGAAATTAAAATGGAACAACGTGCCAGCCGCGCGGCGGGCCTCATGGCCTCGTGGCCTGAGCACGAGCCTAGTACGTCACCACGACCTGAACGTGCCTCCTGCTTCACATGGGTCACGTCACAGCTTCGCCTTGGGTGAACCTTCCGCAAGCGTGACAGCAGCTGCCGCGAGAACAGGGGCGTTTCGTTCTTTAACCTTTGTGGCTATTTCATGTGATCCGTGAGTACTCCAGAGTGGCTGGCATAACGTGTCCGACAGAGCGGCAGAATACGTACTGAAGATGACTTTTTCGCCTTCCTTCCACATCTCGGTAATCAGAGTCTCGCCGGGGTAGACTACGCCCGCAAACCTAGCAGCGGAAATGAGTAGGTCAGTGGCGTTTCCTACTGTGTAGGCGGAGGCGATGCACACCTGGCTTTGATATCTTTATACGGGCCGAAGCTCTTCAGTACGTGCTTGCCCGCGTACCCAAATGTGCACAACCCTACCCATGATAAGTAATGCGCAAGAACGGTGAGCGGGAAGGTAAATCGTACCATGAAGGATGGGCTTATCAAACCCTCCAACTGCGGCAAATTCCGGCAGGATCTAACAAAGAGAGGCAACGTGAACACACGCTACAGCCCTCAACCCTGTTTCGAAATGATAGAAAACACTCACATGCAGAGGGTTCCTATCACCGCTGAGGCTGTTCACACAATTACACATCAGCATGGCCGCTTCACACGCTGCACGGAGGCCGTGGTACTCGCCGGTAGAGTGCAGCCTGGGTAGGCAGCGTCTTCTCCTCGACGACTGCGTCCGGACTACGTTTTGGAGGCGTGTTTGCGGCTGTCGCAGGGCCGCGATCTGGAAAGGGACATGTCCACATCAGCTGAATGGAGCCGTGAGATGGGTTAGACTCTACCTTTGCCCGCCCGCTTGCCCCCAAAGCCTCCAGAGCCGCGAATAAAGAGTGTACTCTGGTTCTCGAAGATGACTTGGCCCGTTGCCTTGTCCTTAGTCTCGGTGACCATCGTAACGGACGCAGCCTTGCCCTTGTCAAGGACCTCCATGATGCTGCAGCACGACAACCGCATGAGCACAGGGCCCAGCGGAGCTATACCTAAGTTGGTCACTTACCGAGCCTCGGAAGTAAGCTGCCCGCTTGTAGGTACGGGGGCCTTGATAGCCAGATACTGCTCACCATGCAGTAGCTTTGCCTGGGGTTTGTCACACGTTAAACCTGTCACACAAATATATCGAGAGTCGGCCGGAGACACACCGGGTTGAAGTCCGGAAGCCAGTCCAACGGGAAGGAGAACATGCATTGGAACTGCGGGATGACTCCGAACGTTGGCAGCGCAGAGAACTCGTCGTCATTCTCGAACGTCCACTGCAGCTCCTTCTCTGTGGCACCAACGCCGAGATTGTAGAGGATGATATCCCGCTCACTATAATTGTACTCGGACTGCGGCTCGACGAGTTGCTTCGCCTTAGCAACGAGCTCGGAGTCTTCGGGTTCGGCGTATGGGCTGCCGGGACCCTGGCTGTCGTCCTCCTGGTGCTCGAAATTCTGAGCGATCTGCAGGATAAACAATCAGAACGTAGACAACAAGAGATAGCTACTAATAGGACCAACTTGTTCAAAAGCGTCCTGTGTGGAGGTAGGGTGTGTGGCCCTACCGTCGTCTAGAATTCCACGATTAATATCGGGAGAAGCGAAGTTCGACATAACCTACCGAAGTTGGTGATAACACTCCACTTCGAAAGAACGGCTTCTGGGGTTAAGGGTTTGTTCACGGGGAAACCGTTGCCTCCACTCCTCTGCCATCGTGTCTGAGCTGCCCAACCACCCATAATCTCGAAGAGGCAACCAGAAGTCTCTTCGTTAGCCTCGCTGGTGAGGTAGCCAACAATGGGTGCGATGTAATCCGGCTGCGGCCCTGTCAGGTGAGAACGTTCTCCACAAGGCAGCTGGCAGACGAACCTTGAATGCCTCAACCATCTCTGGTGGCCTGTGAACGTGATTATTCATCTGACGGCGATAGTTCAATATGTGAATGCATACCAGATGGTTTGTGTCATCGCAGTACCCGCAGACGGCGCAATTGCATTCACTTTGATGTTGTACTTCGCTCCTTCGATTGCGAGTCCACGTGTGAAGCCTATGATAGCAGACTTGGCAGCTGAGTACTGTGATACATTGGATCAGCCTACATCCTGTGCGTTATCGAAGATAAGCCATACGTTAGCCTGGCCGAAGTTGCCATCTACAACAGACATCAATGAGCGCTAAAACCCCATTACAGCGCTGGCCCACGTACAGATCCCGACTTGCGAACTGGTGTTGACAATGCGTCCATATTTCTGTTTGATGAAGTGAGGCCAGCAAGCTTTGGTGCACTGTATATAATATCAACCCTCGCCCGTGGCACAAATGACAAGATAGCGGACCTTGTAGGTGCCACTGAGACCGAAAGTGTATGTTCAGTTGACGAGATACTACTACAGTTCGTAGTACATACCGCAAGTGAACAGCCATAACCTGGTCCCACTCTTGTTCGGACATCGCAGTGAAGGACTTGTCTCTAAGGATTCCGGCGTTGGCGACAAGGACGTGGATACCGCCGAACTTCTCCAGAGCGACCTTGACCAATGCCTCGCCGTCTTCGACAGAGCCGACAGCAGCTGCAGCCTTGCCACCAGCTGGAGCACCGCCAGATCTGAGCATTTGGATGTAAAGAAGTGACATGCGATCGTACCCTTAGTGATCTCATCGACGACAGACTTTGCTCCCTTTTCACTGACATCGTTGACGACGACGTTCGCACCCAAACGTGCGTACATCAGCGCATAAGCCCTACCTAAACCTTGGCCTGCACCGGTAATGAGGACGGTCTTGCCATCAAAACGGACCTCCGGTTGAGACTGAGTATTAGGTGGGAGCTTCGTGGCCTTCTCAAGAGTGCTATGGGCGTCGAAGTCAGAGAGAGACCTCGGACTTAGTACCAAGGAAGCATGAGTTACGTCCAGATGTCCAACATCCATTTAACACGTACTGTTCAGGGTTTGAGAAATCCGTAACCTCGGCCCACTTATGTTTGACAGCAGACGGTGTGAAGGTGTGATCGGTCTTGTACAAAGCACCTTTGCTTCGCTCCCACCTGATCTCGGCAATGAATCCTGCACCAAGCTCGAACACTTTGCCAGATGCGTCGGATGGCGAATCGGGATGTGTGACTGCCAGGACAAACGGCGCAACAAACTCTGGCTATGGCATAGGTGAGCTTTTGATGGTGAGGATGAATACAATATGCGCACCTTGAGGTTAGCAAGCATCTCTGGCGGCATAATTGTCTCTGTCATGGCACTGGCAGCCATCTAGAATGTCATTCAGCTCTGAGGTCGCACGGAGCCGACAGGACATACTGGAGCGATAGCAGTCGCACGAATGTTGTACTTCTCACCCTCACGAGCTAAAGTCTTGGTAAAAGCGACGAGACCCATCTTGGCCGCACTGTAGTTGGTCTGTCCGAAGTTGCCTGCAGTAGACAATATTTCAGGACTACGAGGGCAGGGTAATGTGGGCAAATACGCGCCATAGAGACCAGCAGCACTTGTAGTGTTCACAATTCGACCAAACTTCTGCTTGCGGAAATGCGGCCAGGCAGCCTTCGTACACGAGAACGCACCCTTCAAGTGGACTTCGTATATTTGATCCCATTCCTTATCGGACATGTTGCGGAAGCTGGCCACATCGCGTTATGAAGCAAAGCATTGTAGCAAGAACGTGAGACGTACTTCTTGTCTCGTAAGATTCCGGCATTATTGATCAGTACATGAACAGCACCGAAGTTATCTAGGGCAGTTTGAATTACAGCAGAGCCATCCGTCACTGATGAGTTGTTTACAACAGCCTTGCCGCCGGCTGTGACGTCAAGTTATAAGCTGCAAACGCTTTGAAGACTGGCTTCAATGATTTACACACCTTGGCGAATCTCATCAACAACCTTCTGAGCAGCAGCCGCATTGAAGTCATTTACTACGACGTTGGCACCTCTTGAAGCGTAAGCGAGAGAGTAGCTGTGCGGATTGGGGTGCAGCACTTGCAGTCAACATCTCGTTGTTTGTCTGCTCACGTTTCTGACAAACTCACGCTTTGCCTAGACCACCTCCCGCACCGGTAACGACAGCAGTGAGGCCTTGGAATGACAGCGACGACATGGAGGGTAAGGTATGATGAGGACGAGAGGGTAGCTTGTCGCTTAAGCTTATTATATCCGAATTTCGCAGCCCGGAGTCGCGAAATGTTGGTACCCCCGTGCTCTGCATGTGATTGTCGCCACGAAGCCTCTGATCTGATTTCCCCAAATTAGGGACTAAATAACGTGACCGCGCGCTCCCGCGGACCCGCATTTGGCGAACGCGGTTGTGGGTGAATACTAGCTCGAACGTACTTGATCTTGTGTCTAGTTTTTGGAACCGCAAATCTTCAGAGAAAGCTAACAAAACTCCCAAACTCACACAAACTGCCCACCAGTTCCTTGAATTTTTGGCCTATATGTGTTTCTCGTCGCCTACCACTGGCATCAGTACGAAGCGACGTGCGGGAAACTGAGGACCGTGGTTAGGATTACAACGGCTCGCCGATGAGGGAAGAACGTTCGTGGGGCGAGTAAGATTCCCGCCATGGTAATGAGGTGGGATGATAGTGGCAAGTTCGACCGTGCGGTGGGAACCAGCCCATTGTCAGCCATGGTATGTCGTCGTGTCCGCTGAGATCATACGTCACGCCAAAATGCGGCAATATACTTTTTCCATATTTTTTCATCGTCACCACTATGGTTTCTGTTGTCCTCTGAACACGAATAAACAAAACAAGAACATGACGAGGCCCACAGAACGTTTACCGATACAGCGAGGTAGCGGTACCATCTGCTCCCTTGCGATCGCACCATGAAGCTTCGCAGCGGATTGAAAGAGGCTGTGCTAACAAGACCCTCGCAATCGTGGTGACACAAAAACTTCTCGAAGTCACACGACGTGGGATGTTCGTGTAGACATTCAAAGCATTTTATTTGAATGATACAACGTCTACCTAGTAAATGTGTCGCGGAGGAAATTCGCCAAAAGCTAGTAGCCTCGATGAATACGGTCCGTGAACTATGCAAGGTGCGCAGCAGGGCCGGTCCATGAACGCTGTAGCTCGAGACCAGACCGTGATATCACACCTTTGCGAAGACGTGCATGCAAAGCGCCGCACTGAAATTGGCCATGACGATGTGCCAGCATGACGAAGGAGCTAAACGTCATCCAGTTGTCAATCCGGAGCTCGCTAAACGCTCCACAGCTTCCCACACGGAAAGTACTAACCGCAAAAGCGATTATTGGAATGACAGGGAGGCCGCGATGCTGATCAGCGGGAGTATGCCTCCTTAAGCTTCGTCAGGGCATCCTATGGCAAGAGACATCAGTTTGCGTTATGCACGACACGAGAGGGGCCACCGACTTCATAGCTCCGCTTCAGCGGCGCGAGATCGGCGTCAGATACCCTCATGCGTTTGACTGCGTTCAGGTGATTCGCCTCCTTCAGCATGTTCTTGAAATGCCGAGCCTTTTTAGCGGTGATAGCACGTCAGCAGACCAACTCGAGCGGAGAATCCGGCTTAATTACCTCTTGTTCCTCAATCAAGGTCCAGGCATCTCCAGTGCGCCCCGCGCGGGCGGTACGCCCAACGCGATGCACGTACTTGCGCATGTCCACCGGCGCATCGTAACTAACCACATGCGAGACATGGCTGATATCAATACCACGAGAGATAAGATCCGAGCATACAAGGCTGCGAATTGTGGCACGTCAATACACGCTGCAAGTATGAGCCATGACGCAAAACGCACATGTGAGTCTCTTGGTTCTTGAACTTATCCAATATCTCCTTGCGTGCGCTCGGCGCGAGGTCACTTGAATACGCGCTCAGGACAATTGCTGAGCCTTGCTGCTCTGTTGAGGAGATACGACTTAGCTCGAAGAATTCGAAGAGCTTGACGAGTCGTGCTGTTGACTCGGCGGACTTGGTAAATACTAGGGCGTTCTTCACGCCGTGAGTATGGACCAAGTGAAAGAGCACCAAAGGCTTTTGCGAAGATTCGCAAACAATCATGTGTTCCTGTGAGGGGTAATGGGCGAGCTAATCCAGTAAAGCGTCTATGATCCTCACCAAGAGCGTCGCCGGCATGTTGAACTTTTCCATGACAAGGTCCAGCACACCCTCTTGCTGTGTAGCAATCTCCCGAGATGAGCCCTGAACCACGAAATATTTCGGATCTCTCAGATTGAGCGCCGCGATCTTGGATGGATCCCGCGTCAGAGTCGCTGAGAATAGTAGTTTCTGGCAAGAGGTCTCCTTGGGCTCGTCGAAGTCGGTCCGGACGTGTGGGATGCCGTGAAAAATGTGCAAAAAGGCCGGAGCCAAACCATCCGGCGTCGGGATGCTATCAGTGCTCGATGCGACGCCGCTCACAAGGTCCGGTGAGGTCGGGATCTCGGACGGGCGAGTCGCGGAGAGAACCCGAGCCAACCAGTCCTGGAAAGACTGGGCCAGCAGCTTGTCCGCCTCATCGATAACCTAAGCTTTCCGTCAGCCTCGGAGCCTCGGAAATATCGTTCGAAGGCTAAGCATACCAGGAAGCGGAGGTGTTGAAGGGAGAAATTCGGGGTGCCATTGAGATGGTCTATCAGACGCCCAGGAGTGCATATCAGGATGTCAATTTTGCTAGATCCGCCTTGCAGTCTATAAACTACGCCATCAGCGACAGGTTTTAGCAGTATGAGACCAGATTACCTCAGAGTACGGTCGGCAACCAACTGGGATTGTTCGTGGGCAAAGGAATGCTGGCCTGTCGCAGTACCGATCTGAACGCACTAAGAGAGAGCACGACCTGCACAGAATAGTGCATACCTTGAGACTGCGTCCTTTGGCAAGGGCTTCGAACGTTTCACGTACTTGAGTAACCAAGTCTCGCGTAGGAAGCACGATCAGAGCGCGCAGACGGGTGATAACCCTGGATGAAAGGAGCTGAAAGAAGATGTTAACACCTGGTAAAATACTTACGATAACGAAGTCTCACCTCAACAATGGGCAAGACATATGCGAGAGTTTTGCCACTTCCGGTAGGAGCAGAGACGCAGATATCGTGGGGCGGATCATGGAGATACAATCGTCGCTGCTTCTGGTCTGACATCAAGAACGGTATTACGGCAGTCTGTACTGTAAAACAACTTAGACAAGCAGGACAACCCATGGAGCGCCTGGCGTACATACCAGCAAACAACTCCGTAATACCGAGCTCTTGCAGTCTCTTCTTCGTCTTCTCGCTTAGCAGGACGCTTGCCTCTGATTCCGTCGAAATGGGCACGGTCTTCCGTGGGTCGACCAACTCTGCTTCTACTATTGCCTTGTCTAAACCTTGAAGGGCTAGTGTCGCTTTCGATGGCGCATCTGGTCTCGAAGGCAGGGGAAACGCAGGGAGGGCAGCGGGGGGAGCAGGGGATTCGCGCGCGTCGGCTGGGGTTTCTTCTTGGTGTGCTAGCTCTGGTTCGTCTTCAGCAACTGCTGCTGGATGTTGTTCCTCCGGAAAACTCAACCTGCGCCGCTTCTTTGGTTTCCTCCGTGTGCCCTCGTGTTCGCAATCGCCCTCGGAAACTTCGACTCGCTTCACGGTCTCCGTAGTATGCTCGTTGACAGAAGCCGTGCCCTCGTCCCCTTCTTCTCCCTCATCCTCACGATCTCCGTCATCGCCACGTCCGCGAGATGGTGCGGCAGTAGCTCTGCGAGTTTTGCGTCTCTCTCGTTTGGCCTTGAGATAGCGCTTCTTGGCTTTCGTCTTGGTCTAGTGGTGTGTATGAGATTATTTGCGCCGCCCCACGCTTTATAACACACCTCTGTAGACGAACTCGACGTGCTCGCAGCATTCACGGCACTCGCCAGGGCCATGTCGCGACAGTGTGTTAAGGCCAAAGAGAGGCTCTGAGCTGAAATGAGCGCTAAGGAATAATGGCGCGGGTGCCTTGCCGGCGGCAAAAAGAAGTGCTTCTTGGCGTCTGCCGTCCCGTCCGTAAAACTCGAGTCTGCCTTCAAGAATTCCTTGGCCTATCCCACTCACATTTGTCTGCTGGCAGTCGTGCTAACCGCTTTTAGTGAACGCCACCCTTGCTGCAGAATACAACGGCAGTACAATCGTTGCAAGCCCGCCATATAATCGACCCTGCACAGAATATTGTAAATGTCAAGCACTCTTCACCCCGACCAATCTGGATTTCTTTTCCCAGAATCGATTAGACCTTCACTTCTCAAAATCAGGGCCTCTTCTCGTGTGTAAGTTGGTCCGTTAATTTCTTTTCTACGCGTTTCTCTCTCGAGTCCGAGGTACAATCTCCCTCGCCTGGTTCGTTAAGCCGGTGCTTCGGCCATGCGTATCACCATTCAAGGGTCTTGTCTGTCTTCGAATTCTCTCCCTCCTAGTCGAGCACATAGATGGATTGTGCAATAATATCTCCCTAAGGGAACCAATCACACCGAGTCTGAAGCAAGCTAGTACATAAAAGGGCGCGGAACGTCAGCCGTGGCGGCGGCACTCGGTGTTAGCTCTCTAGTTCGCTGTGTGTAGATGTGAGTCACTGGGTTCTATCAACCGTCCTTCGGGATTTCCTGAGATTTTCCGCGCAGGTTCATCCCGTCGTCTTCGAGAGTTCCCTTATCAGCGGGCTGCTTCCTGCGCTGAGTCCCTGGTATATCTATAGGAGACTTATAGCGTGAGATAGCTGTTTACAAACACTCTAATTATTAGCTCTATCCGGCGGTAAGCCTTGCCAGAAAGACATCAGACCCTCTCCCCCGTACCGTTAACATGGGGATTGCGTCACATGAGACAGGGTTTAGAGAAGGCGGTTGCGAAAGCCGACCGAATCTTCGCGCGCGGCACTTCATGTTGGTCGGCACGGTAAAAGTATGTCTTCGGCTCTTAGGCCGCTGATTTCTACTTCTGGAACAGAGCCCTGGTCTTACTGGTCGTACCTTGGATTGGCGATACCGCCTCCTGCCTGGAAGCTAACGGAGTTTTGCCGGCTATATCACTCTCTTCCCGAACATACTTATACGGCGGCGAGCGAAGGCCTCAGACAACTGTCAGGCTTCGCCGCCGTGTTGCTCATGCTCATCTCGTAAGCCTTCAGACATCTAATTATCACTCCATGACCACGCTCTGGCCTGTGCTCTGCCACAACTGCGGATCCGACTTTCCTATCGGAGTCCCATGCGGCTCTTATCGCGGACCATCCACCAAGTGAGCGGCCGTCTTTTCCTCTGGGGTGCTTAGGTATTGACGGACAGTCTAGGAGACCGCCCGCAGAGACCGTATTGTCTGCGGGTGTGCGCTGATCGTCTACTTTTCCAGAGACAGACTCGTGACGCTTACGGCTTTCCCTCGACTTCATTCCGAATCGATGGTTCCGTGAAGGTGATTCAATGGGATCATGGGGCTCCACACACCTCAATACACACCTCGACGTATTAAAGCACGACTACATTCCTTCGTTCCCCGTAGGCGTCCTCACCACCCGAACGACATCCACAGGTCAGCTTTGAGAGTGTCGCGCCTTGTCCGATTAACCTTCGATATTCCGGAACAGAGCCTTCTCGCCTTCCAGTACAGATGTGTCAACAGGTTCTGTGAGTGCAATTCCCCGATCACTGTCATCCTGTTTCCAATTGGAATTCCTAGCCTCGTGAATCGTCATCGAGGATGTCAGGTACGGTCAACGTTTCCAACGCAGTGGATCAGCAAAGTCTAAGGCTTTAAGCAGCACAACGTACCTCTCTGGCACACTGGCGAGACGTTCGATTGCGGTCGGCCCGACTGTGCGCTGAGCAGTGCCCATGCCCATGCCGAGACGTACCCCTGCAAGTGTAATCGAGTAAGCTTAAGAAGGCAGTCCATGTGGCGCCGGGGCTGATGCTAATATCTGCTAGACCTACACGGATTACATCCGAGTCTCTAGCCTCATTCAGGAGAAATGCGATACCTGCAAGGAAGCTGAGCTCGGGCCCTACGCTGATCGCGGACGCCACTACTAGCTGGTCCTGCATATCGACCGCACGTTCCCCATCCGCCCTCTCTGCCGCAGTTCCCCTCGCACGCTCCTTGTACCATTACCTACCACATCTGTACTCTTTATACTTTGACGTCCGAATCTTCAGGAACGAGTCCGGCATGATGTGCCGGACGATGCACCATTCAGATGGTTGGCTTCCATGGTCTATCGCCGCTTGGAGCGGTCTTCTCCCGAGACAGATAACCCCCTCGTGTGCACGATCTACGGGGGTGCAGACGTCGCTTGGACATGCTCTTGCCATAGAACACGGAATAGCGGTCGGAATCGCCCCTACAGGTCTTCAGAGGGTCGCACCACTGCTGCAGTGACGCCCTGGCCCCACCAGGGCGTACGACCGCCAAAATGGAAGGCGAACTACGATAACAGGAGATGGTACAGCTAGACAAACAGAAGGACATCCCATGACCATCGTGCCACTCGATCATGGAATCCCTGAGCACCGGACTCGACGCCAGCAGCTCACTGGCTCCCGTCGCAGGCTTCTCCTGTCAGAACCGCCTTCCGCCACGCTTCAGCGGCTGCTTCGCGCCTCTGGAAGCCGTCTTGCGCTGGGCGAGCCTCTGCCGGCGGTCACCCTCGCTCTCGTCTTCCGACGAAGACTCGACACGTTTTGTCTTTTTATTGGGCCGCGCCGGCGGTGCATCCTCCGGGCCCCTGCTCGCTGAGACGGCATGTGCGTGCGGTATCGGAGAGTCTTGGCGAGACATGGGCGCGGCCCCAGATCCAAAAGCTCGCGGTGGGGAGCTCAGACTCGGGCTCGTCCTGCCCTGTCCAGGTACCACGTTCGACGCCGAGGCCTCCGGCTCCGTGGCAGATTCGTCGTCTTCTGCAGGGGCAGGGGCAGGGGTTTCGGCATGCGTTGCACGCGAAGCAGGCTTTGCTGCGGCTGGAAGCTCTTCCTTCTGTGAATGAGAAGATGCTCGAGTGACTATTTCACGGGAGACGTCCACAGGGGGCTGTTCATTAGACGATGTCAGCGCCGATGCGGGTCGTTTCGTCTCTGGCAGCCTCAGTTCAGGAACCGGCACCTCGCTCAGAACCGGGGCTACGTTGAACTTTAGGCATCGGTGAATGGGAGAACTCGAGTCGAGCACTCGCGAAGATCTGGTGCGAAATTGGACACGGCTGCCATTCGATGTAGCGTGGTCGCGACGCGAGGCTTCGTGACCGCATGTCTCACGTGCGTGTCCATGCTGCGACGCGCCGTGCGCCCAACCTTATCTATAGCCTGCCCACCCGTAGAAAAGGGGCGCGAAGGTTAGTATTGGACCAGCGAATCGGGGACTTGCACACCTTTTCCAGATCGGCCTCTGACAGCTCGCTGACAGGGTCTGCGGAACTGAAGGCCAGGTGAGTGACGCTGATGAGGGGCATGATGAGATGCTGTGACAACACGTCAGCTGATACCTGTGGGATACGAGATTGTCAGACCTGGGTTGCGAGAGGAGGTGGCTGGAGTTGCGCACCCTGGGGCCCAGGTAGTATGTCTCCCATCGCCACTTGAAGTCATCACTTCCCAATTCAAAGGCCAGGTCCTATGATAGCTTACGGCAGTCAGTGGCTTGTGTATGAAGCAATGTGCATGTCGTACGGCATTTCTCGATTCCACGATGTCAAATGTCAGGTCGATGATGCCCCCGGGGCTGTGGGCAGAAGCTAACAGGTCGAGCGTCTGTAACCGCCATTCGTCTTCTTCGCCGTCTGATTGATCCCTCGGTGGCGACGGCTGGGAATTGCAGTCACGCCACCTTCGTGCGACTTGCTTACTAGAAAGCACTGCAACGCTGATGAGGCTCCTTCTTTTACGTGTACGGTGCAGGAACGTTACCTTCACCCCAAACCTGCCTCGTGTCGGTGACCATGATGCAGCAGCATTGATCAACTATAGACGCATAGAACTTCTACTAGGCAACCACTGAGAACCATCTGTTATCTCGGCTGCGCAGACATTCGTACCAAAAGGTAAGGAATCGATCTGCTGTTATCGTTCTTGACCAACCACTCTTTATGAAGGAGCGACTTCAAGTTCTCCTGCGAGGGCAGTCAGCACTGGTCTTGCGTTAAGCCAATGCTACTTACTTCTGTCAGATACTGCATTATATGTGAGATTATACTTGCTTTTCTGCGTCCAAATCGCAATCCTGTTCGGTGTGGAGTGGCCGGGACGAAACACGCTTAGACGCCAGCATGCGGGAGTGAACATGCCTTTGTGGCGGCCACGTGGAATCGCGAATAGCAGTCGCGATATTGAGAAATTTCCAGGGATATTGCCAGGGCCATGAGTACATGCCAGATATGATACAGAGAAATGAAAAATTAATGGCAGAATAATAAATCAAGTGCCCTGTCCTTTCCTCCAAGACGAGAACGACAAGAACCCGACAACAAGCAACGCGGTGCCCGCGCCGACTAGGCCTGGTAGATACAAGTACCACGTATTGTCCTCCCCCTGCCTGTCCAGTGGATCTTCCATCGCTGACTTGGAAGTAATGCTTGCAGCCAGCGGGTCCTCCGCCTCTCTTTTCCGGCGCCGGCGCGGTTTCTCGTCCGAGCTGCCCTGCACGTTCACCGCAGGCATCTTTAGCTTCAGAGTGTCGTCAAACACGGGGCTGACGTTGTCCCCTGAGTCAGGTTCAGAGCTTGGGTTCGAAGTCGGCAGGAGCGGGACGTCCAGAGCTGGGTTTAGCTCCCGTGCACGGTTGAAGAGTCGGCGGGCATGCGCTTGGTCCTGGCTCCAGGCTTCTGGGCCATCATGGTGCATGCCAGCATGCGAAGCGACATGGAGCGCCGGGTGGGTCGTCAGGGTAGGCGTGCGAAGCGATGACAGGCCGGCATAAGAGGAGCTGAGCAAGCCCGAGGCCGAGCCCTCCAGGTGTAGAAGTCCGGCTTCGAGATAAAGCTGCGCAAGCTTCTCGCTACCGCCAATACGCTCGAGATAGTACGGTAATGTTCCCCGGAAGGCAGAGATAGTTTGCTCGGTGTAAGATACCGAGGCAGCAGACGCAACCGGAGTCGTATCTGGAGACGGTGGATGGGTGCCAGAAGAACTTGTAGGCGTGGACAGAGCATCCCTCGGCGTATGTAGCTGCTCCGGGGGAACGGCGTGCGGTGGAAGGTAGTGTGTGGCGAGGCGGATAGTTGCTGAAGAGATATGAGTCTGGTGCCAAGCTCGTCTGCAAGTAACGTAGTTAGCAGCAGCATTAAAGATACAAAACATATATTACTGACACAAAGTACTCGAACGCTTCCTCCCTGTCTTCTCTTATGTCGAAGTGATCGAGTCCTAACAGAACGAGACTTGTCGGGTCCATATTGAAACATGCTTCTGTGGGGCCGGACGGAGCCCAGGGATAACGAGAGGTGTCAGGAGGTGATATGGCCTCTGAGACTGGGCCTATTACCAGAGAAGGCCAGATCATGGAGTCTGCTTTTTCGAGGTGAATCGTCAACAGACGGCTAGCGCCGCTGCGAAGCGATTCCACGGAAGACGCTGACGATACCATACTGGACGCCCGATTGCTGGGCATCCGAGGAGATACGGGATGCGACGTAGTGAAATGACTCCGACGCCTCGGCGGCGGCGAACGTAATGGAAACCCAGTAGCTTCTTCTGCACTGGAGAGTGAGACAGGAGAAGACAGCGCTGGTGACGATAATGTGTCTTCCAGATCCGACAGAAAGCCTTCCTCCAACGATGCTGCAAAGCTGCTCGATATTTCTGGTTCGGATATCAAAGCGAAGGATGATTGAGTGGAGGTAGTCGACGTGGTAGACGTTGTTCGCTCTCTGGCTGAGAGCCGCGACGATGCTCGGGGTTCAAGTTGCCACGATGAGTGCGCTACATCTATTGAGCCGTATAGGCGACCCTAAACTGACGAAGATGGGCAGATGATTGCCATGTTAAGTAACGAGGCTAACCTTGACCACAGCTGGCTGTCTCTTCACTCCTGCGACGAGGTAATTACGTTCGAATTTCACCTTCGGTAAACACCTTAGTCGTCGCCTAAGCGTCGTATATTCTTTGTACGCACCTCGACATCATCCCCCTCTGTTTCATATGGTACATAAAGCAATACTGTAGCCTGATTCGAGCTTAGACTGGTTCCGCGTGGTGCTGTCTGCAACTCACTTGGTCGTGAGACTAGGCAGGCCAGAAACGAGTTGAGGTCAGGCTTGCCATTCACACTCCGGGTTGTATGCTCACCTGGTGCCACGAATACGGCAAGAAGCTCTCGTGCGCTCTGTCCATGGTGGACGTTAGCTTCGGCGCTGTGCGGTGATTGGGCGCGACGATCCTTGGATGCAGGGCCGCCGTCGGGCGACTGGTACTCTTTGGTTTGGTCTAAGAGCAGAAAGAGGGAGGACTGCGGTCAAAAGTAAGTCCGAAACAGGCCACGAATGCGCCGCTGGTGGAGGGACAAGCTGGGAACGCTTGGAGACCCCAGCTGGCTCAGAACTCAATGGAACTCGTCACGTGTGACCACGCGTGTTTCATTTCGCGCCGCGGTCACGACGGCCTGTTCTCGTCACGATGCCCGTCTCTTGGTGCCTTCCTTTTCTCGACCGCTCTCTCCAGCAGAACGCCCGACAATACGCCCTCATCGTCCTCAACCAGCCTTTTTCTCTCCCCCTCCTGCAGAGGCTCTGGAACTCGACACAATGGCACTGCTGTGCAGACGGCGGAGCCAATCGCTTGCACGACGCATTTAGTGAATTGCGACATGCGACATCGGAACGCGACCTCAGAACTACGTAAGTGACCCTTGAGTTGCAGAAACACGAGCATTCTGATTTTACGTGAATCTCAGCTACCTACCAGACCTTATCAAAGGCGACCTCGATTCGTTGAGAGATGATGTGCGAGAGTATTACGCTTCTCAGGTGTGTCTGGCATGCATCTTCCCAGAAGAAAACTGACTTATGTCGCTTTGAGTTAGAATGTCGAGATAGTGCAAGATGACGACCAGTACTCGACGGATCTGATGAAGTGTGTATTTGCCCTTGAAGAAAAGGAACAGGCTGAGGGATCTCAGGTGAGCCTTGCTCGGCCTCCAACCTGTCTCTATCAGGATACTCACATGCAAGGCAGTACGACATAATCATTCTAGGGGGACTTACTGGTCGCTTAGACCAGACCGTGCACACAATGTCTTATCTCCACAAGCTCAGGAAGAGAAGGGAGCGCGTATTCTGTGTCACCGACGACAACGTCGCTTGGGTTTTAGATGGAGTCAGTTGATTCTATCTTCTCCACAATCTGTGTCCTCACCCTATGTTATCGCTATCTAGGGCGAGCACATCATCCATGTAGACCACGCATACATGGGCAAGACGTGCGGTCTGCTTCCTGTGGGCATCGACTCAACTATTCTCACCACTTCAGGCCTAGAGTGGAACCTCAGTGCGTTTCGCTGTGATCGTCCTCAGCATAATCTGACAGTTTGGACAGCCGAGGCGGAATCGCGTTTCGATGGCATGATTTCGACCTCCAATCACCTCGTACCAGGTGAGCCCGTACGAATAAAGACGACTAGGCCCATATTCTGGACTGTGGAGCTCAGAGTATCCGCTCTGCCTTGACTGTAATCGGAGGACGAGCTAGAAAGAAGGGCCGGTGTACATATATTTGATGATAGATTGATACAGTTACCCCGCATATGTCCGGCGAGACTCGCGTCTTAAGCTTGAGCACAACCATCATGAGCACATCTGCACCACCCGAAATCACCGTCCTCTACTTCGCCGCGGCCTCGACTGCGACGGGTCTGACCGTCGAGCGAGTGCCGCTTCCATCGGGCGAGCCGCTGCCGCTCACGTCTCTGGCAGACTTGCTCGTCTCAAGACACCCCAAGACGAACCTCGACAAAGTGCTTCTGTCGAGCCAGTGGAGTGTCGACGCGGACATGGTGGATGAGCCGGAAAAGGTCGTTTTGAAGGGAGGAGAGGAGGTCGCCGTCATCTGCCCCGTATCTGGTGGCTGAGTTTGCATGTGGGGTGAGCGATCTGGGTGTGTGTGTTCGCCTTCCGGACAACTCTCACGACGCCTCGGAAGGGCCCAGCTATAGATACGCCATCTGTGCATCATACCAGTTTCGTATCTCTACTTTCCCGAATCACTATCACTCTACGAGCAATGTCTGAGACTACACTTGTTGCCCCTGCCCCGAAGCGCAAGGCTGCCTTCAAAGCCTCCCGACTGACACCCACGACCTGGGCCATAACAGAGCATTCCGACAGCTACGACGAGCGGCCCCTCATCTATGCCAAACTGATCCCGGAGCAGGGGGTGATCCTGGTGATCGACACGGGCTGCGGGGGTGCGACCGACGACGAGGAGATCGACCTCAGGAGCCTCCGTGAGTACATCGAGAGGGTCAAGATTCCAGGCAACGACAACCTGCCGCTGAATCCCGGGGGAGCTCTGCGGTATGCGGTGCTCTTAACACACTGCCACTACGATCACATCCGTACGTCCTGTACACGTGTATACGCGCAGCTGAATGACGACTATGCTCACCGCCGATGAACAGTCGGCGTCGAGCAATTCGCAGAGGACTCCACCATCCTCGCCTCCGGGCACACCCCTTCCTTCATCACACCAGAGAACCTCCCCCGCCACTCCCTCTGCGACTCCCTGAACATCCCCACTCCAAAGTACACGCC